ATTACTTCTTATTGTTTTGTGATTCTTTTAGTAAGTTTAGCAATCAAATGAATAACTTTTGAGAACTGTCAAAAAGATGTTGAAGAAAAGATTAAAAAAAAATAAAGAATTAATGGAGTGTCTACAAAATTTGGAATGCTAAGTAGAAAAGACGCATGCTTGTAATGAAAAACCAATAAAGGTATTCAAGAGTTTTCGAGTTTAAAGTTGTGATTTTTTGTTGAGTTTTCGTCACTTTTTTTTAACTTATAATCACTTTTTGAGTTTTGCGATTTTTTTGTGCATCTTTTGACTTTTTCGTAGGATGATGTGGAGAGTTTACCTAATGAAACATACTAGTTTTTTAATGCCTTTCCTAGTTTTTCTTTAGGCATTGGATTTGAAATAAGTGGTGGGGAAAAAGATGTTGAGGTGCATGTTCGAAAAAGTGACAAATCAGTTGAAAAATTGACAAGACAGTGAAAAAAGTGACAAGAAAATCAAAAATGGTGACAAAAGAATTGAATAAAGTGATGAGGCACTTGAAATGAATTTGAATGAAGGAATAGAACTTCATGAGAATGATTGGTTAAGAATTGATGATATCATTGCTCGTATTTTAGCAAAAAATCAAGTATTTGTGTTTTCATTTTATTATCTTTTTTCCTCATAACTTATGTATATTTTATTTTTTACGTTAATATAATTTGACATTTATACTTGTGTTATTGTTCATGTTCTAACATGTTGCATCACGATCTGATAAATGCAGAATTGAATTGTTGGACAAGGAGTTTCAATTGAAAGATGACGTTTGAGAGTTGTGGAAGTTACGGCTATGATTGAAGCTGAAACTGGAATTGAAGAGGGAAATGTTGAAACTATTGATATTGATGATAATGTGACCCTAGACATGCCCTGGAAGAGACAAGAGAAACCTGCAGTGCTTATTCGATCCCCATGGGTTAATAAATATGATTCTATATCGAGGACTAAAAAGCATGCTATAAAAGGCACTTTTGCATTTCCATTTGGTGTGAGCCCTCCGATGGCACGTGATGTTGATACTTTTGAGGTTTGGTACAACAAGGGATTGATAAGGAAAAAAAATAAGTAAGTTACTAATATTTGTTGTTTGTGAATTTTTTCTAATAAAGTGACGTTTTATGTGACTTCTTGAATTATGTGATATAGGCCTAAACATTTCAATAATGAAAATTTATTATCAATCATTACTTCTACTTTAATGATATTGCTATATCTTCCAAACAATGGTGGTACGAATTTTTTACTCTGAAAGAATGTTTGGAAGACATGGTATGGTATTTTGTTAGTTGGTGTTTTAAGATTCTTTTATATAATTTTTAGTATAATTATTGGTTTTGTCATTTTTCCCTTTTTTATAGCATGTCGATGTATGTTTCTATTACTGGAGGAAGATGTTAAGACATGAACATGGTATAAGCATAAAGCCTATAACCACAGACTTTCCATTTGATAGTCAAATGAGAGGTCTTTATACTGGTTTTTGCCAAGATAAGTCCGCTCTAAAAAAGCATACTTCTCTTCTTTCATATGCTATCGGGTTGTCCATGCCATGTAATACAAGTTGGAGCTTTGTTGACCATGTGTTTATGCCAATGAAAATGTCCAATTTAGTCCATTAGATTCTCTGTCATTTTGACATTCAACGTATATGCATGAATGTATATAATTCATACAATAAGGTTGTCAAGAAGGCTCTTCTAATTTAGATTGTTAAACCATTTTCTAATATAATTCATCATCTACTTTTTCATATTGACTTCTTTGAGGTGCATTTCAGAAGAAGATGATTTGAAACCATTGGTTGTAAAAATGGTTCCAAAACTTTAACAACGTAATAACATGTTAGATTGCTTTCTAAAGATATTTTTTTTGTTTTCATTTGATATTTGGTATTTGATTGTCTAAATTCTTTTTCTTTTTTATATGGTGGAATATATGTAATTAAATATGCCCAGTACTCCATTAACAAGAAATTGAGTGAAATGTCAAAAACATTTAATATTCCACATATTAGAAGAAATTTGGCAGCTCAATTATATGCTTATAGAAAGAAGAAGCAAGATGAGGAATATGATACAGATAATGAATAAGTGTCAAAGGAGACAGACTAGTGACATGTTGATGTGATAGAGAAGAAAATGATTTTGAAGAAGCGAAGGCATATCTTGTTATGTAATGACTAATTTAATTGTTAGAATATTTTGTGGATATATATAAGTTGGTTGGTAATTGATGTCTTGTATGTAATGAATGATTTTAAAAAAATGATGATGTTACTAGTGGCAGCACAACTTCAATTTTTAATTTTTGAAGTTTTGAACACGTTTTCTTTACAATATCAATGGAACACGAATATTGGTGATGTAGTTGATCAATATTAGTACTATTACCTAACTATAACATGTTTGTAGCTTATCACATGCTATCAGCTTGTATGTCAATTCTTTTAACATGCTAGCAGTTTGTATGTCACTTGGCATAATTAAGTTCAAATACTTTGTGTGTATCAATTAATTGATTCAAAGTTTTCTTTTTCATTAATATTAACATAAAACAAGGCTTGAATTTGTATGTTTAAATTTCCAAAATATGTACACGTATTCATCTAGATTATTTCCCCGATAAGATACTGTGACTTTTTTAAAAAAAAGGTGAAAATGACAGAATTCACATTCTCTTTGAACAAACACCTTGCATGCATCAATGTAATTGATTTAAAATTTTCTTTTTTATATGTATTATCATAAAACATGACTTGAATGTGTATGTTCAAATTTCTAAAAATGCATACGTATGTATCTAGTTAATTACTCCAATGAGATACTGTGACTTTTTTTTTATAGAAAAATAACAGAATTCAAATTCTCCTTGATAAAAAACATTGCACGCATCAATGAAATTAATTCAAAGTTTTTTCCATATTTATTATCATAAAATATGGCTTGAATTGGTATTTCAAATTTTTTAAAATGCGATGTATACATCTAGTTAATTCTTCTAATGAGATGATGTGACTATTGTTTTGAGAAAAATGACATATTTAGGGGTGTCAATATGGTTCATTGGCTCGAGCAGCCCATGGCTTGACCCAGAAAACCTGAGTCAGCTCGGCTCACTGCTCGGCAGAATTGACTATTGAGTCGAGACTCAGGCCAAGCTCCATTTTTGGAGCTTGTAACAAAGCTGCCTGTAACAAAGCTGCCATGTTACCGTTGCTTGCATATTGCTCCCTTGTTAAAGGCTGCTACACATAAATGTTACGTGTAGCTGCCTTGCAGCTACCTATGTTAAATAACAATATATTTAAATTTTGTTGAAACAAATATATTTTTTCTATAAATATGATGTTTTGAGTTTCATATCATTTTATTTTAATCAATTCAAATTGCGGTATTCTAGTTTTCAACTTCAATCCCCAATTTCTTTGCTCTAATGTTAAGTTTCTTTTACTCTAATATTCAGTATTTTTTGCTATGTTGATTATATTCCGTTCCAAACTTGAAAAAATGAGGAGGTTGTATCTTTTGTTTAATTTATAATCTATATGAATTACACAAATTTAAAATTCTTTTAAAAAAATTAGATTTGTCATGAACTTTTAGAAATACTCGCGAGTTAGCTAGGTTTGTTAAGGGAGCTGAAAGTTCAGGACATGCCTAAATTTTTTGGTCTAACAAAAGCTTGCCTAAGCTCAAACTAAAAAAAGACCAAACCATATTTACTCGAGCCAAGCCCGAGCTTTGAGTTTTGGCTCACAACCAGCTTGGCTCTACTCGACTCGATTCGTTGACATCCCTAGACCAAATGTCACTTTTTCATATTTTCCTTTCGTCAAACACCTTGAATGTATCATTTTAATTGATCAAAACTAATTTTCCATATATATTGACACAATCCACTTCCTCTCAAGTTCAACAATTTTATTTTCCAACATATTTTCAATTATAATCACAAAATCATCAAAAATAAATTTCATAAATGTTAATTATTTATATTATAAAGTTTAAACTAAACCTAATCACGAAATTTAAATAAAAGTGAGATAGACAACGAATTATGATGATTAGAATTTGTAAGTGAGATATTATTAGTTGAAAATTGATAAATACGATTTTTACTTTTATAATTTATGCGAAGAAAATATTGAACAATTTTTTAAAGAAAAATTGGGGAACTAATTAAACAAGAAGTCCAAAACTGATAATTTTGTTAGATTTCCTTGATCTTTTTTCTAGAGCTTTCAATATTGAAGTAGCCTCGATTTTTTCCAAAGCTTTAAAGAATGAATGGATTTTGTTTGTGTATTTGTGGAAGACTGTCTATTTTTCCTTTGATTTTTTCAGTTTGAGGGTTGATTTTTGGATGTTGGTGACTTTAGGTTTGTATATTTTACATTCAAAATATAATTAATTACCATTTAATCCACTTTTATCATTTTTTTCAGAATTGCCCCAAAATATAGAGTATTTGTATAAGTACCACTTTCCTTTTTTTTTTCAATTGTGTATTTTGTACCTTTTATTTTTATATATTTTCACCTAATGAAAGGGGTCTTGAATGACCGATTTGTTGATTCAAAGTAAATTAAGCCCATGTTTGATTTGACAGCAATCAAATTTTTATTAAATTTTGATGAGAAATATAATTAAAAAGTTGATAAAAGTTGTAAATCAAATAGAATATGTGATTGAAAATACTTTTTTTAAAGAAAAATAAAAAGAGAAAAAATGGAGCTAAAATCACAAAGTAACTCAATCTTGCTCCCCACGGGCGGTTACGGGACTTTGGGAGTCAAAGTATTACGAAACTCTGTCCCTAACCTACAGAATCCAGAAACAACAGTGATTATCCCTCTGATGTCCATACAAGCTGTGAATATTCAGCCCAAGGGATCGTTTAGCTGCTTTAACATTCTTCTCTAACCTATTAGGAAAAAATAATCTTGTATTAATTCAAGATTGAACTTTTTCAATATGGAACAAAATCCTCGAGCAACAAAACACTTTTTCAAGGTTATGTCTCGTGATTTTCATACAAAATTGGTATGTTTTCTCTCTTTTATTTCGCATATTATTTTCTGTGTTTTTTTTTGGATGAAACAGAGGAATTAAAATAAATGCTAATTGATTTTGAGGAGAAATTAATGGATTTTTTTATTGAATAATTACTAAATAAAAAATATTTTTTAAGGGTTTGTGTGAATGCTTGTATTGGGTATTTGGGTTTTTACCCATATTACGAAATAAAAGATTTTTTTTTTTTGGCTAATTATTACAAAGGAATTTTGTGGTTATAATCTTGAAAAGAATTTCACTCAATCTCCTTCGCCATTCAAATGCATTAGTAATCTATACATGTTTTGCTAATGTAATTTATATGTTTTAATGACTAATTAATTTACCCTTTTCCAATTTATATCTATGGGCAGGCCCTGCCAAAGGCATTTTGTAGATATCTAAATGAAGAAAAACTGGCCACTATAAGGAGTGGCAAGGGAATCTGGAAGATCAATGTTGTTAAAAGTAATAGAGATGCCTTATTTTTCGAAGAGGGGTGGGGCAATTTTGTTCGTCAACACGAACTCACTGTTGGAGATATTGTGGTTTTTGAACACGTGAGGGAAATGGATTTCAATGCTTTTGTTTTTGATTATACTGCCTGTGAGAAAGAATTCGACAAGGATTTAGGGGAAACGTACGAAGGATCTTCTGGAGTTTGTAACAATTTGGAAGCCATCATAAGTAAGTTTTGTGCTAAGATGCTATATATTTTTCTTTTGTCTTTCCAATAGATGCACGGCTTCAATATGAGTCTGCAGAAAAACTGGCTTCTTAAGCAGATTTGTAGAATTATGTGATACAATTGCATGCATTTCTGATGGATATGCACATGTTATGCCTAAATTCAGCTAGGAAAATCCATGTATAACGTGGTAGAGTAGGACATGTGCAGGTCCAAGATTTCCTGGATGCTTTAGTACAAAAGTTTTGAAGTTTCCGAAACTTGACCCTCTTGTGACCGATGAATGATTTATGAGTCGACAAGAGCTTTAGACTATACAAAGGGAATATGGAAACATGACAAGGACAATATAGCGCAAACAAGTTTGTGATTAAGTGCATCAGGCATTAAACTGCTTATCTCCTGGCTTAGGGAGTTTGTTACCATTGCTAATTCCACCAGTACTTGTCAATCAATTGAGAAACCGGTAAATCATGGAATTCAAAATACGTTTTTGTGGTTTGATACGGTTCAATCCACACTATCTGTATTATCGTTTTATTTTCAACTAAATCTCTTACTGATTCACTGATTTGTTGACAATTGTTTATGTAAAAACTGTTGCATAAACAGGTGGTTCATGGCAACAGGGGGATAATCCATACTTTGTCGTAACAATGAAACACTACCATTCACCTGCTTCCAAAAGGGCCCGGCCATTTGTGGTGAGTTTTGCCTTACATGACAGCATATATTGAAATCTTGTTCTTCTTTCCTTGTTTACTATAACAAATTTGATTCCTTGTGCTTCAATTTATGTGGATGTTTGGCTAAGCTTAAAAACTTAATCTTAAGTGAATAAATAAGGATTAAAAATAATAATTTTTGCTTGATCAAAGTGGGAAATAAGGGCCTGTTTGATAGCCCTTTATTTTCCATGGAAGTTGGAATTGAAATTCCGTTTCCTACTTTTGTCGTGTTTGATTGCACTTTTTTTTCGTGGAATTGGTTTTCCACCTTTTTCTAGGTACAATCATTTGATGCACAAAAACTTGATTTTGTTTTCTTACCTATTGGTGGGAAAACATTTTCCACCATTTTTTTTTTGCTTTTTTTTTTTTTTTT